AAAAAAAAAATGAGCAGAGGTTTTTGAGTTTTGCTTTCATTTAAAGCTGAAGCAGTTTCATTGGGAGGTTTAGTGACAGCTTGATATCATCTAGACAGAGTGATCTATCTGAAAAAAGATTAATGTTAATTAAAGTGGCATTGGAGAGCTTCAGCAGATGACAGCAGCCAAGCTGACTACAAGCTATTTTTAGAAAATTGACTTCATGGCATTCAGTATGACTCATTTATTAAGTTAACAGATGAATCAATAGCTCAGCTTCCTATGGCAGTCACTGAATGTGGAACTGTATATAAAGACTGTGTTCAAATCTTTGGTCAGAATTCAAATTATAAAAGCTGGCCAGTATTGATTCACTCCAAGCACACAAGTGTCTTGCTCGTGATGTAGCTGTGCAGAAACAATCCAGTGAGCCCATTAGCACATGCATATGTACAGGGTTACAGGAAAACCACTCAGAAGTCTAATTTGCAACTATATGGAAAATAACATGGTGGTAATTTTAATCCTATATAGAGAATAAATGTTTTTTAAATGAGAAATTCAGTTGCTGTTTTAAATAGAGTATTGAAACATACAACAAACAGGTCATAAAAGACTAACTTATTAAAGTAATGGATAGTTTATCGTTAACAGAGTCGCAATTTAGTTTTCTTTAAGTTTGTCTTCTCAAATTCTCTTCCCATTTGGGTTGTGGTTCATTGTTTCTTGCCTCCATTTGAACACAGTTCCTCCTGCTTTTTAACTTTCCTTAACTTGGATGAAATTCAAGTTTTCCCTCTTCAGTGATATTCTGCTTTAATTTGTGAAATAGTAAAGCTCCCATCTGTTCCAATACAACTGTATTGGCCTCACTTCAGTTTATTTCCTGTATTTTGCTAATTTCTTACGTTGCTATAGAAACCTTGCTTTCAACATACTCCTGAATCGTTTTTGTGAACTTCCTGCGAAGCCAGTCTATGCATTATATGTCAACCTGAGATACACTTTTTTCCTAAAATAGTTTCCCTTAAAAAAGAAACAAAGTTTCTATTCTTTCAAAGACTTGTGTGCAAATAGTCCTATGAGATTTAGTATTTCATAATTATTTTTATGGAATTTCTGTCATATCTTTTCTGATTCTCTCCTCAAAGACCATCAGTTTAGCCTAATATGAGGTGTGGTTCTTAATTTGTATTATGTTAGCTGTAATTACTAAATCTAGGAATAATTTCACTTCTGCAAAAGGATTAGAGACCTGGGGTGTCTGTATTACATGCCTGGTATGATAGACCTGATAAGACTGATGTCTATTGAAATTTGAATATAAATTGTGAGACCTTTCAGAGATGATCAGTTACATATATACATGTGAAAAATAAAAGTTAACTAGTGTTTAAAATAATTTCACTATTAGATAATATAGTGTGAAAATACTGCCATTTGGAAGAGGAAGACTTTGTGCAGTAGATCTCTCTAGATGATGTTTGTAATTGTCTTTTCAGCTTGTTGGAAGTAGCTGTCTGTATCTTTAGCTTTGCTTTTGGTTGGTTGTGTATTTAGTTCTGAGAGAAAATGCCCTTTGTATTATATGATGCTGGTTGTTGTGTTGTTCAACTGCAGAAAAATAAAAATATAAAATAAAATCTATAATAAAAACTAAAATGTGTGAAAGATGAAGAGTGAATCTGCACAAAAATTGAGTCTCTCAGGAACTTAATTCTGGCCCTTCTAACATGTTCTTTGCTGCATTTGCACCAGCGTGCAAAGCTGGTCCTTTGCAGATCCTCTGCTCCACTGATTGGAGTGTATTTGCTTCTTGAAATGCTGATCAAAAACGTTACTGTCAAATGTTCTAACAAAATCAACCTGCAGAGAGAGCTTGCTCCCAGGAAAATGAAGAAGCCTATGCCGTGTGCGAGGCCTCTCTCACAGACTGTGTATCATCCTGTACTGAAATCACCGGTGTGTGGTTGTCTGGTCTCTGTTCTTTCTGGTGCCAGTGATCAAATCCGGACTGGTCACAATTCGTAGTGACACTTAAATGTTGGTCAGAGAAATACTCAATATATAAAATTTTCCTTAAGTTGGACATACCGATTAATGCATTGATTTTCAGTTTACTGTTCTTTCATCACAATGTCTTTTGTTTTTCTCAGTAGCTTTTGTGTGTGTGTCATTGTGTAACCCTGTGGACTTGCCTGACTGTGGGAGATCTATAACAGTGATTTGGTAACACCCAACTAAGTGCTTTCAGATTTCTTTTCAGAGTGTTTACCATGAGGTTGGAATGAACTGGGATTTATGATTTTTGAGAGGAGAGTATGCAGTGTGTTTCACAACTGGTTCTGCCTCTTAAGTTCATTTGGCAAGTGAATTGTATGGCATAATGTTTTGTGCAAGAAATTGACACTAATCAAGACACTTTGCCAGAGAAAAAAGCAGACAAGCAGACTGTTTTTACATTTTATCTATGTGTTATTGTTAACTACTCACAGGCTTTCAAATAGGCAGCTTAAATCCTTTTTTTTTCCTCACAGATACATTATTATATAGTAAAACCAAAAATTCTGTTCCTCACGTATATCATACTTGGGACCGGTAGAAGAGTTCAGGCTGCATTAACTGGATCCTCCCAGTGCATGTGATGGTTTTAAACTTTGGTAAAACTCAAAACCAAACTCTATAAACAAAGCCAAATGTCTTTCTTATGTCCTCCGTTGTACCAGATTGAGTTGGCAATCTACTGTTGTGGATCTCTCTTCCAGGAGTTGTAAGATGGAGTGAAATCTAATGTTCTGAAATGTGTAGTAGTATTATTGTGTATATATATATAAAATAGTATTTAAATATTGTTGTATTTCAAGCTAAAGATGTCACTTTAGGATTGAAAACGCATTAAGATAGTTATGGTGAGCTGGAGCTGTAAGTGAGAGATTGTTTATTGAAACAGTAACATAACTTTTAACGTATCTTTCTCTTCCAAAAATGCAGAACTGTGATAACTGACGCTTTCAATGACATTGCATATGTGATTTTGTAAAGGAAAATGTCCATTTCAGGAATGCTTAACTTAAAATGTGCTACCATTTGGACTGCAACTTGGCAGATTGAGAATATGTTAAACTCTTGACACTCAACTTTGCGAAAGTATTTGCAAAAAATGATGCTAATTAATGGTTTAAGCAAGCCAGATGAGTTTACTGAGTCAATTACTTAGATTTATAAAAGTTTTTTTCTGATTTATTCCAAGAAAATGCTTAATAGTTGTGCCAAGGGTGGCCAATAAAGATATCTGCCATGTGGAATTCCCTGCTGTTGGAGTGCTGGCACCAGAGGCTCTGTCCTCCCCTTCTGCTAGAAGTTAGAAAGTCAATAAAGTTATTTTTTGAGTACTCCAGAGTGCGGATAGGAATGGATCTGGAAGAACTGAATCAAAACTCTTTTCTTACGGATCATGTCCAATAGCAATAGGTCATGTCCAACGGTAACACACACTGATCTGAGCCATCAGATGTGATGAGGCAAACCTTCATCATGATGTTAAAATCGATTTCTCATAGCTGGAAATACCCTGGAAACACCATTTGAACAAAGGTCAGATATAGTGAAGAATAAAAGCTCATGTTTGCACTTGCAGAGGCAAAAAAAAAAGTTTCAGTTCTCTCCAACTTTCAACTCCCTTGATGATTAGCAGCAATGGAAATTGCAGAGGAAATAAGAGAGCAATTGCTGCACTCTAATCATTCATGGAGAATTTGAAGGCTGACCCTGGCTTTACCTCGGAAGTCATAGTTGATGTTACTTGGAGCAGCGATGGACTTCAGATTTGACTTTTCCATGCAGACTTCATCTTCTGTCCAAAGTCTTCAAACCATACATTTCTGAGAGTGACTGACTTGTAGAGATGTGGAAAGACAGGACTTATGGGCAAAATCTTCATGTATTTTCTGTGTTACTCTCTTTTCCTCTTTTTAGGTTGAATAAAGAAATATGTGTAGTAACGTTAAGATTGAATATAAGGAAATACGTTTGTATAGAAATGCTGACTATTGGAAGGGAAACTTCCAATAATAGGGAGGTAATACAAATACACATTTGATAGCTGTCTGCTGCTTTACAATAAATAGTTTCTCGTGTGATTTCCATTTCTGTAGGACCCAGAAAATGACTAGTGTTGCTGTGCAGAGCCAGCAGGGAGGTCATTAGTGCAGTTATATTTTTAGGTCTGAATTGTCACTATCAATGATACTGCTTCATGAAATAATAGAAGTTATGTCTGCATGTCTCTGGGGAAAATGTAATATTTACCACTGTTTATACTACAAGCTATTAATGCATCTTCAGTACGTGAACTTTTCTTAACCATAACCTTTGTAAGATATAGACAAGTAAATTCAGTAAGTTCAATGTGGAACAAAACTCCCTGTTTTTCTATATCAGTACTGACTATTGCACATCACCCACTTTTTATTACCAATGATGCACTCCAGAGACTTTTCAAACATTAAAGCTGTAGAGTCTCTGTGGGTTGTGAGGTCTGTACATGCAAGTCTAATTAAAAAACTTCAATTTCTATAATTGCATTTGGTTACATTTAAGACCGTATAGCAGCTTAGTGAAATACTGAGGACAAAGCACACCAGACTTCAAGTATTTAAACACACCCATATGGCTTAGACAACAAACAAGAAATCATAGAATATGATGACTGATGGCCATTAATGTAAAGAATAACACTCTGGTGATGGTAACTGCTTAGTTGACCTGATTTTTATCTTTCAGGGTGATGAAGGACACCTTGTTTCCAATGTTTATGTTAATTACATGGAGATTTTTCTTTGGATAAAGAAAGGAAAGGGGTGGGTTTGCTCTTGTTTTGGGGTTTGATGATTTTTACATCTAAATTAATAGGAGGGATATTTGTGTTTGGGAACAAGTCGTGACACCATTAACACGCTGTGCTTTTGAGAATATTTTTCTTCTGATTTCAGAGAGTATTTTTCTTCTCCTGATTTCAGGTTGGGTGGGACTATATCTGCGTACAAGATAGTGCCAGACGAAATAGAAGAAATCAAGGTACAGTATTACTGCCTTTCAACACTGAGTTTCTTTGCTTGGAGAATTACAGAAATATTAAATTAAAAAGCTGTGTTCTTTCTTGCTTTGTAGTGCTCAAAGAGTATATAGGCTTTCTTTACTGTCCTGTTCAGTAAATTCTGAATACAGAAAAAAAGAATGATTATTGGTGTTGATTATATAAATTGATTATTTATCTGGAAATATATCTTAAACTAAAAATTGAAGCTAAAATTCATCCCTTATCGTTTCGAGGCATTTTAAGTTCCTCTTTTGATTGATAAAATATATTTTCTGTAGGCATTCATCTTGGTATTTCTTTAAATGTACAAAATACTAAAAACAGTCTGTTGAAATCTTAAAATTATTCAGTAGTAAAAAACTGTTAATAGTCTCTTTCTGATTTATTAATTGATGAATGTATTGAAGCTGCTGGAACATTTTATTGTCCACTCAATTCTAATCTATCTTTGGGGATGAAAGTGTCTAAAGTAAAATTATTAGATCCGAATTTAAGCATCTAAAGTAGAATTTTTTTATTTTTACAAGTACAGTTTATCTTCAGCTTCAGTTGCCTTCAGTTGGGTTTGTTTTATGCCAAAAGCTTGTGTTATTTGGCATATTTCTGTTTTGTTACCTGAGGACAGGTGCAGGACTGCTGTGAACATTGAGTTATATTTTCATACCAAAAAAGAAATAGAAATGTAGTGTCCTTTTGCTTTTGAGATCAAAAGCACATCCATTTTTTTCAGTACTATCACTCTTCAGAAGAGGGTAGTATGAAGTCGTTGATACTCAAAATCATTAAAAGCTCTTTCATTGTGGGAGTGACAACAATCAACACTGAAGTTTACCTCTAATGCAGTGTGCTCTATAACAAAACTCACTTTAGCCGAGTCTTTTTCTCTCCTGTGAGATTCATGGAGTCCTCTGTCCTGAATTATCAAGCGGAGCATGATTTATTAGGGCAGATCCAATGTTTAGACTTCGGTATTAGAAACAAAGAAGGTTTTCAAAACTTATTAGTGTTATGTAATATTTTCATGATGTTCAGAGAACTGCATCAAAACTATATAACCAAAAATGATTAAAATACTAAAGAATAATATTTCTCCTTTAATATAAGACATCAAAATCCACTGACATTTTGCTAATGTTGAAGATGGAGAAAAAAAAAGCTGGTGTTTCTGTCTTCATTGTACAAACTGAGTTCAGTGAACAAATTAAAATGGAATGCTAGGAAATAGAATATAATTTTATTCTTAGGAACTTACTGCATTAGCCAAGATCAGTAGTCACAGGAATGCATTTTTCCCCCACCTGCTAAGGAGGCCTGTTCTGATTTTTTCGGCTCTTTCTCACTCAGCTGGTGTTTAAATGCTTGAGATGTGAGGAAACAGCAAAGGCTGGGTTACTTATTGATCTCAGTTGTGCCAGCATGTAAGTGCGGAGGTAGGATTGTATTGTTCTGAGTCTGAGCCATTTAAAGTGTTTGGAAAAAATCACTTCCTTTACTTGTTTTTCGTAGCTGTCTTGTCTTGTTCAGGTAATGGGGTTTTTTACGTTGTGACTGAAGTCAGCTGACCTCTCACACTAAGTGATTGAACTTGTCAAGCTGTAATATAATAGATGTTAGTCATAAGAAATAAGGCACTACTGGAAGATGCCAGGACACACTAGCAGTGAGTATAATGGACAAATCTGTACCATATATGGAAAATTACTCCTTTGTATATATGTATTTTGAATAGCAGCTGGCAAACAGGAAGACTGAATATCCCTGCAGTGAATATAGGGGGAGTCTAAACTTCTGAAAGGTTCTCCAAGCGGATTTGAGCAGAAAAAGGAGAGAGAAGGAAATAAGAGAAAGCAAATGAGAATATTCTAGACAGGACAGAATCTTCTTCCATGCACAGTAGTTCAGAGTTATTTTGCCTCGCAACTATCCCTCTCCTATTTAAACATGAAGTATTAAGGGGTTTAATTTAATGAAATATGCAAGAAGAATAGCTCCGGTTTTGATATATGATTTAACTTGACAGGTTGCTGAATTATATTCACAGGAGTTGGAATACTCATGTTTTCTGATAGGCCTTACAAAGTAAACTGCTTGTTTCAATGGCAAAGGAGGGTACTTTATCAGACAGAGAACAATAATTACTGGGACAAATAAATAAGAAGTCTCTTTGACAGCATCCATATACTCTGGAAAAGGTGGTAGATGAACTTCTTTTACAGCTCAAAATAATTAACGAGGAAAACAGATGTATTGATTTTGTTAATTCATGTAACTGCATCTTAGGTAGGACAACATTGTAAGCAGAGACTCTCTTATTTTATGCAAGAGGAAAAACTCTGTAAGCTGCAGTATACCTGCTGATTAAAAAGTATCTTTAGAAGATTAATGAAATGCATGTTTCTAGATGCATTAGGAATTTAAAAAATAACCTCTATAATATATATATGATAATTTATTTGCAATACTTGGCAAATTTTAACATGTGTCTATAATGTTTCCATTCTGGACTATTTAGAATATATTTACCTTTGCATGTGAGTGTGATTTTACTATGTGTATATATGTACTGTGAGATCATATATGGTTTATGTATCCAGAATATTGCCTGTACGTATATGTGACTGTTTCTTTGAATGATTTTGTATGGTCAGTGTTGGGTATAATTGAGGCAATGTATCCTGATTACCAAAATTAAGTAGTGTCTGGCGTGCTTATAGGCATACGATTAGAAGTATTTATGGCAGAAGCGAGAGCATATGCCCTAACTACCCTCATGCACTGTACCAAATTTGGGAATAATTGTGTGGAACCAATCACAACTACAGTTCCTCAGCATCTGCATCAATCAGAAATGGTTGTAACTTATCTTCCCTAGACTTTTGTCATAAGTGTTAGGTTCCCAAAATGAGAGCACTCAACAAGTAACTAGTGAAAATACCATCATGGATTTCTCCCCTGAGAACTTTTCCAGAAGGTGAAAATGTCTTCTGTCACAGGATTTTCAGGACCAATGTTTCCATAAAAGAAGCTTTCAGAGGAGGAAAACGTGAGCGAATGCATAAATGGATGTACTGCCATTTCTTCACACCATTTAAAGCAATGGCACTTCATTTTCAGTACCTGCTGGTTTTAAAAATCTGCAGGAACTGATGAAGACAGTAATACAGGAGTTACACCATACTTCTGAGAAAGTATCACTGTTTTGACTTTCTCTGGTCTTTTCACATCAGAATTATTCATCTGTAACTTGTTACTGTAAAAGTAAGTAGCTTTTCAAACTTGCAAAAACACATTGGCAGATTTCAGCTTTGCTTCTTGTCCACTGCCATAGTATGTTGCGCCAAAAGGTGAGATCTTCCAAGCCACATAATTTCGTGTGCATAGAACTGGTGAGCCTATCAGGCAATGCTGGTTTTGAAGAACATCTTCTGGTTGGAAATTAAAGCAATTCCATTTGAGAGGAAAAGAATAGCAGTAAACTTAACATTTCTTTATGTCTAGTTAATGACATTCATGACAAAATACAATTTTGTTTACAATATGGAGTTTGCCTCAAGAGTAAAGAGCAATTTATGACTATTACCGATGAGGGAAAGTCTGTGTGATGTGCCTGTAGGTAGTTTTATATGACAACAGTAGCATCTTATGGTTTATAATACGAGAGATGCTCTCTTTCATTGCAGCATTCTGTCATTACAAAGGAAATACATGATGTTGTGAGGGATTGTTATTCTAGAGGAAGACTCTGTGAATGAGAAGACCACTCATTAACAGATTTCAAAAACAATACTTGGTTTGCCAGGATTTGCAAGTCAGCAAAAAAGAATTTAATTGTTCTTTTTTTTTTTTTTTTTTTATAAACTGGGTAGCATTACTAGTTCTCATCTGGGTCTGTATAAGTCTCACGCTTCAGAAACATCAATTATGTTACAAGAACAATGAGGAATAACCTTTCAGCTTTGCGTGAAATCACTTCTTAGTTTCCTGTTCAGAGACTGACATTTCATCATTAAACATAGGTTAAAGCTATGTCTTTTAGTTCAGTATTATTAATAATAATAATGAAATTTGTCTTCCCAGTTAAGTATCAGTTGTCTTAATGTTCCAGATGTTTGTAGCTCAGAAGGACTTGTCTGAATTGATGTGGTGATGACACAGAGAAGCAACAGATGGCACAGAGCTGTCCCTGCTCCATTCATCACGTCAATGACTGGTTTTAAGTGCTTACCCATATGTTTTTCATGTAGGCATATCTCATCATCTCAAGACCAGAAATGAATTTGGCAGCAGGTGTTCAATTCATAAAAGTAATATGCGCAAGAAAGACATTGCCATTGTATGTCATTCCTGTAATACTTGTGGTGTAAGATGGATATTCCAGTGTAGAGAACAAGGTTAAATGGTTACCTCCTCTGGTAGTTAATTTTAAGAAATCTTGTTAGAAATTTTTTTTAGTACTGATTGTAAATTCCTAAATTAAGATGTAAAGCACTACTGTAAATTTAGATGGAGGAAGACACAGAATTTTTTTAGTTCCATTATCCACCCTTTCACACAGAAACATATTTTATGCTCCTCAAAGAACACCCATAATTCTTCTATAGATGCTATTTAAATGAAAGCATATGTGCATAAAGTATTAAGGGCTGCATTTAAGATTACAGACGTTTTCCCCTGAGTAATGACAGGACAGCTCTCTTTTTTTTCTTTAGACATATACGTTCACTTAATAGTTTAATATATGAAAATCCTTTTCATGAATAGCTGAAACACATTCCTGTCAGATTGTCTTCAGTCTGTGAGGCAACAGACTCCAGTGATAAAGATCTAAGAGTAGAAAATTATAAAAAAATGTGAGAGAGGGGGTAGCATCCAGAAGGGAAACAGGGAACATTGCGTCTTCTTAGAGGTCAGTTGCTCTGTGTGACTTAGGAATTCATAAGATTTTAACTTTTCCACACAACCGTATTTAGGAACATCT